TTTGACTAACTTTTACTGCTTTTCTGGGAGAGTTATTTCAGGCTGATTGTTATATGTGGTGTATGGAAATTGTGTATTGTAGGTGTGTACGTAATTTTACAGTTATGTCAACATTCTATATAATAAAATTTTACATCTAAATTACAGCTATATAATTTAATGCACTATTCTTTTTTTTTTCACATTGCATCTCCAGCCATGCATCCAATGTATGCAAAGGAATTTCTTGGCTTACAAGACTTAAAACCATTAGACCACCAAAGAGCTGGGAACTAAACACAGTGCAAGTAATGACAGCATTTGCACTAGCGTATCAAACCAGAAAGAAAATTGCACAGCCTCTCAAATATCAAACTTTGGGGTTGATTCATTTGGTGGGTCTGTGACCTGACAAGGCAGTATGATTAATTGAACACATATTCCCTCAGAGGTTTTCCCACTCATGCTTTCTGCAGCAAAGATTGTTAGCTTGACAGATCAACATAGCAACCTCTTAAGAAGCCAGAAAGGGAAGGGGTTGGTTTCTGATTGAAACTTAATGGAGGAATAGCAGCTGCTCCATGCTGAGGAGAAAAAAAAAAAAAAAAAAAAAGAAGAAGCAGCTTTTGATTCTGAGAAAAATCACATGCAGAAATAAACTGATTTTTTTTATCACTCCAGCTAGAGGATTTCTGTCAGGTACTGCAAGAAAATATTCACATGATACAATAGGCTTCATAATTAGGAATTCTGCTGTGCTTCCTTTCATCTGATTACCTAAACATAAGCCATGGCCTGAGTTCTTTTATTTTCTTTTCTTATTAAACACTGTTCTAGATGTCTCTTCTTCCATAGGTTTATTCTTAGCTTTAAGACACTTTTGGTCATTTAGGCTAAAGTTTGCAAAACTGCAGATTCAGTAGGCAGTTCCCGTATTTACAACGCTGAGCAAAGATGCTTGCACAGCATGTTCCTTCTGTTAACTGGCAACCCACACTGTCTCACCATCATCTCAGCCCCCCACAGGTGTCAACTGCCCACTTCAAACCAGTTTTTGTCTTTTAAGTAAGGCCTAAACCTCTAGCAACCTGCATTAGACACTTCCTCAAGGTTACTTAATCCCTACACCTTATCTGTGAAAGGGTTTTAAATATCAACCAGTCTTTCCCCTTTAACATTTCCCAGCTGGACTCTTGGCAGGATACCACGTGCTTGATGGATCCTTTCATGTAGAGTGTGAAAGGAGCTGAGATGGCCCTCTGTAGCCATCCCTGCTCCTGGGGGATGACACTACAGCCCTGGCTCCAGAGCGGGAGCGCTCCTGGAGGCGAACAGCAGCCGGGGAAACCCTGCAGGCAGCAGCATCAGGGCTGGGGAGGGCAGCCGCAGGCTGGGCTGAGGTGGCAGGTGCATGGAGTATGGAGAGCTCTGCACTCTCACGCATGGCAGACGTGTCTGCCCTAATCTGGGACAAATCCCTTAAAACACACCTTGACTTTGGAAACTGAGACCTCTGCCTCCCAGCTCACATCCTGCAGCACTCACCGAAGAGCCCAGCTGGTAAAAGCCCTGCAAATCCAGCATGCTGTGCTGGACCCCTGTCAAAGGGCTACATTTACACCAGAAATGGCAGGTGATGATCTTTCTTTAAATGTGCCCCTGGATACCCCCCATGACACCCTTCATCTGCTCCAAGCATTGAATTAAGTTCCTCATTCTGTAGCTAAATTTTCTAATGCATTGTGAAATCTCATCTTTTACTGGCAATGCAGAAACACACAAAGCAGCAAAAAATGCAACAAAAAAAATTGCTTCTATTACTTCATCTTTTAAAATGAGCCTTAGAAGCTGACAGAGAAAGATACTGTATAAACAAAATGATTTAATTGCACTACATGAAAGAGAAGGCAGGTCTTACTGAAGCGGAGCAGCAGACAGCATGACAGAAGAAAATTCCTCAAAGCAATAGCATATAAATATTGAACAAAATGCAAAAGTCAACTCTGCAGATGGTTCTGGAAAAAAACAGCTGCTCTGGCTGCAAATACACTTCAGAGAGTACACCACAAAAACTGGAAATCCGCAAAGCCAAGGGGGAAATCAATGAATAATCCACTAGAAGGAAATCCCCAGCTTCCACGATCAAGTATGGGGATTAGAAAGACATTTCTAAATCAACAAGGTGCAGACTGGGACCGAAGAGTCAATTTTAGGATTATTTTTTTCCCCTCAAAATCACTTACTGCCAAGCCAGGGAGATACTTACTGTCTGTCTTTGCATGCCAATTTATATGTTTAATTTGAGATGTTAATTTCTCTGCAAAATGATTTAATAACATTTTTGTAATCATTACTTACTTCCAGAGGCCTTTGCAAACAACATTTCTAACAGATTTAAAGATATGATTGCTAAGCAAGTGAGCTGCATCAACTAAATTCACTTCTTGCCTTTTGCTCGGTGAATCAGCTGCACAATTCAGTCACAAAAGCTTCTGGAACAAAGCTAGAGAGGATTTTGTTAATCTGGATTTGTAAACCCCAAGCTACTAGCTTAAAAATCCATGATGAATCTGTGTCACCATGTATTTCCTTCTCCCTTGGGAAAATAAAGGATGTATATATGCAGAAAATCAGAATTATTCCCCTTACCTGTAAGAAGTTACCAAGAGCAAATAGAAGGGGGGAACATGCCATCACCCTACCCAGATAACCAAACCACCCCATAACAGCAGCTTTCTATGATTTGCAGAGTATGAAAAAGTAATATAGAAAAAAAATACAGTAACCAACCCCCTCAAACCAGATGCACCCGTGCAATGTTTCTGCGGGTTGCTGAGGCAGGAGAAGCGCAGAGATGTGAGTGAGGCCACGGCAGTGAGACGCAACTGAAAGGAAACGCCGTGTCCTTTGCAGGACAGCACTTCCAAAAGTCATCAGGCTTCCATCCCACAGGCTGAGCGCTCACAGCCTCTCTTCGTCTGTTAGATCCAGTGCTGTCCTTTTTGTCAGGCTGAGGCAGAGGGTACCTGTGTGAGCCTGACAATGGGCACCTCCAAAGGGGGGATGTTTAAAACAGAGAAGTGGGAAATTCTCATGCAAGTAGCACTTCTCATCCACAGAACTGAAAGTGCTTGAAGACATGCAACCAACACTGATCAGATCTTTCATACAGAGTAACTAGTCAAGAAGCATCAAGTTTCCTCCTCCACAAACAGATTTCCTTAACTTCCTTCGAAGGAACAGCTATCCTGGAGTGCACTGGGACCAGAGGACTCTTCCAAAGTTATATAGCAAGTAAGCAGGGGAGTAGGAAATGACCTCCATCCACCTCCCGCCTTCATCACTGGGTACCAAGATGCACACTAAGTTTACAAAATAAGAAGTCGTAGGGAAATTGATTCTTGAATGTGCCATACCATTAATCTGAGACGGAGACTGGGCAATACAAGCAGGTTTGTCACTGTGCCTTGTGCCAACAAAGCTTTCAGGCTTTCAAATCTAGCACTTTCCTCCCTCGGGAAATACCTCTCCTATGTGTTAAAAGCACAACGAAACACAAGGTAATTAAACATAATACTAAGGATATCAGAGATTAGTACAATGAACAGTAGAGTTGCAGAATTGTTAATGTAGGTTGAAATGCTTTGCCAGCAATCACACGCTGAGGGACTCACGTTCCTGACTGAGCTGCGTGGCTTTTCTTCTCCTCTGTGTGCCAGCCCTGCAGAGCTGCGTGGCTGGTCCCAGGGGTGCACAGCTCTGCCGGGGCGAGGACGGGTGCCGTGAAGCTACTCTGGTCTCAGATGTGCTCGGGGAAACTGCCAGACATATGGAAATCTCTGCACTGAGCAAGCAGATGAGGGCCGGTACTCCTGCTGTAGACAGCAATTTGGAGGGACAAGCAGAAAGAGGTGACCCAGCAAGATGCCGTGCTCAGCTTGCCTTGCGTTTTCTGGAGCATCCCCTCGGAGGAACCCTGCGTGGAGCTGGTGGGAATGGGATGGGCAGTTCAGCAGCAAACACCCACAGCCCTACAAAGAGTTGTTGTGCTTCTCCAGCCATCCCTGGAGCCCAGTGATGTGCATAACACCACGGCTCACAGGCTCCCCTCAGCAAGCACTCAGGCACTCCACTATTTCAGGAAATCACTGTTAAAACATAATCATATAAAACCACTCCAAACCCCTGCTTCTTACAGCCTGAGAGCATTTTTTTGAAGAGGGTAACTGAGAGAGGGGACAAAAAAACCTATAGGGACTGAATACCACTGAGGCAATAAAATTAGATCCAGTATTTAATCACCTTTTCCAATAATTGTCTCATTTTTGGAAGAAATATTTCTGAGAGATTTCTACATTTCTTCACAATGAACAGGTGATGATGAAAGATTTCATCTAGACAGAAGTTAAGTTTGAATTTTAAAATTAAGTTCTACACAATGAAAAAAAACCCCATATCAACACAGTGTTATTTTTGTCTTAAAGCTTTTTTCTCTTTTTTTTCTTTTTTTTTCTTTTTTAAATAAAGGTTAAAAGAAGCCCCAAACAAACAAACAAACTTTATTATTTTGGAAATACAGTCTATCATAAAGTAAACATTTTAAATATTTAGTACTAAATAATAGTAAAGATGGCTTTGTGGAGATGAAATGAGCAACATCAGGGGTTTTTATAAACTGTCTCTCAATACTGCTAGGACCTGGGTAGCTGCTGTTTGGGACTAACAGCGCACAGCATATTTGGTGCAGTGTAGATTTATTTTTTGGTAGAATATATTTATTTACTGTCATAGCAGAAGAAGCAATTAGCTGACATTTCATGGGGCAGCCTCCCAAGAATAATCCTGAGGCAAAAGCAACTCCACGGTCAGATGAGACACTGGAAGGAGGTGCAGCTGGGTGCCCTGCAGACCTGCAGGTATGTCGAGACCTTCTCGGCAGTAGGTCCTCGACCTACCTGTCGGGACCTTGCCCACTTGAGACCTTCTTGCAGCTTTTTCTTTTCCATCAGCAGCCTTGCCATTTACAAATGCTTCTTCTTTTTTATTGCTTCTGCCCTGACAGCCAAGCTCTTGGCACAGATGGTCAGGACCACGATAAGGACTCCGACCAGAAACGTAACCAGAGGCCAGAGGAAGCAGTGCAAGAGGACAGTCTCATCATGGGTGCGCTTCAGCATCACATCATCTGGCCTGCAAAGAGGAGGAGCAGAAAAGAGAGAAAATATAAATCAACTCAACATCATCAATTCATCATAAAAGTGTCTGCCATGGAAAAAATAAAGGCCTTTTATTTGCAACAGTGCTAGAAAATGATTAAGTGGACCACCTCATTCACTGCTTTTGTTTGCCCATCCATCACCAGCACTTGTGGCAGGCTGCAAGGCTTTCCACTTGCAGTGTTTACAGGCTCG